CTCCCCTCCAAAAAAAGCCCCTGTCCACCCTTCCCCCCTCACTCCCCACCCCATCTTACTCCTCCCACCCCAAACCCCTCGATTTTGGACTGTTGTGAAATTTGGGTACCAGGGAGTGTAAACGTTTCGTGCCCCTATCGTCACAGTCATTATCATTCGTAGAGAGTTCTCCTTCCGTTTGTCAGAGTCGACCCTGGGATGCTGTTTTCCGTCAAATATCTTCCTGTATTGGGCACTCATGTGACCTTATACAGTTGCGAGCTCCGTAAAACACTTGCAAAACCGAAGCAAAAGATCTTACAGGAAAATTATATTCACACCCATACTCACTTTCCACTCGCTCCAAGAGAATTGTTACTGTGCTAATAAATCATCATCCTACAGAGTTATCTGTTGCTATAGCCCGTTACTTTTGTGTGGAAACGTAACAAACAAGAACCTTGTGAGTAGAACTGCTTTTGAATTGGAAAAGCCTCTTTTGATCAAGCAAACATGAAAGTGATTATTAAAGTAACGTACCAACCCATCCCTACCCCCAGGCCCCCACCACGACTGCCAGAAAGTCTGTTCCGGCTTCAGAATATCTCTGTTTGCATGATCGTTCGTTCCTATTTGCTAGCCCAGTTCCCTCACCACTCCCCCTGAAGGGCATACAGGATTATTATCTATTAAGCGCGTGAAGCTATCATTCACCTGTTCCATCTATACCTTATAATGCCAAGACATTCTATTGCACCCTGGTGACCGCAAGAATAAGGGATAAAGTTCTCTTCTATCTTAGTAAACAACATCTTCTCGGAGAAGACGAGAATCAAAACAATTCAATCAAGACGAATTTTCCGTACAATCATTTGACATGTTTTGCTTACAAATGAAATGATAGACACGTAGCAGTGGGGGTGGAGGGGAGAGGGGAATTGTGCGAAAAGAATCTCCCCTTTTTTACATTCAGATATATCTCAAATTTCCCAGTATTTCAGGCATGAAATTGCCCAATGCTCTTAACCCTGCAGCAAAAATTACAGCTGCAATCACACGAAAGCCGATCAGAGCACTTAATCCCATATTGTTTTGGAGTATGCCAAGAAGCTCTTTCGCTTCACGCCCCGCAAGCTTTGATCGTGCAGGGTTTGAACGGTCTTAAAATCACTGATAATAGCATTGGCTGAGGACAGCAATCCGATCCGGTTTTCCGGGCTACTGGGAAATAACAGGGCTCCGGCGTAGAATTGCAACTGTGATGCGGGTGTATCTGGATCGCGAACCGGTCTTTTTCTCTCCATGTCTGTTCCTCTCTCTCTCTCTCTCTCTCTCTCTCTCTCTCTCTCTCTCTA